AATTATTATATTAGATGAATCTTTTACATCGAGACTTGTGGTCGAACCGGTTCTATACTTATAGTAATCTTATCCTCAATTATAAAATTAGGATTCGAATTCCCAATTCCAAATTGGAAACCGTCCAAAAAAACAAAATGAATCTTTTAATATTAAAATTATTTATTTATTTAATAATATATATTTTATAATCTAATTAAATTTTAAAAATAGTGTTTATCAATTTTATCTCTTAAAAATTTAAAAAAAATCATCTTAAAATTATGTCATTTCAATAAATTTTTATTAAAAAAATAAATTATCATATTTTAAAAACATATATTAAAGTAATTTTTATTTTTTTTCTTAATTTTTTAAAAATAAAACATACAAACCTCTTAAATTTAAATCATAAAAGATAATTCCCAAACCTATTTTACAATATTAAACTGGAAAACAATGATTCATCGTATGTTCTGAATTTCAAAATGTTTTACTTTAAATAGTCCTTAAAGTCGAAGAAATTGATGGCGTGGCAGCATATTAGATTAGTAGAGGAGTAAATGCGCAACTAAAGGGTAAGGCTGCCTGGAGGAGCGTCTATGTCCAAAAGTCTACAAAGAGAATCTCAAGTGTCCAGCAGCATACCTTCCCAATGCGCTGTCTTTCCTTTTTCCTTTTTTTATTTATTAAAGTTTACGTGCGAGAGTCTATAATATCTCTGTCACTCTCCTCGTCAAAAAGACACGTAATACTTCACGTCCCTATTTTTCTAAGCACTACTTTCGGGTTTTGATATTGTTACCGCCTACCAGCATTACTACTACTTTTTTTTAGAAATATTTTTTTAAAATAACTTTTCTAAATATTCTTCTTCTTTTTTTGTTGTTGGTGAAAAACTTTTCTAAATAATCTTGAAGGCACATTCTATGTCGCTTCTGCGGTACATTTAACAACTTTTCTCGCGGAACAAAACTTTTGACTAGAAAACCTTTTCCAACCTAAACACGTCGTGAGAGTGGATTCTTCTATCTACCCTAGAAGTGTAAATCAAAATCTAATTGGACCATTTTTATTTTTTCGTGTAGAGTCGACATAAATTCTGCCTTTTTAAGGCCCCTTGACTTGTTAGTGGATCAAAAATCAAACCACTCAAAATATCACGGACATTTATATAAATATTGAAATTGTTAGGTAGCTAAATGCAAAATCGAAGATCTCGGCTCTAAATAAATTTGCTTCCCACAACTAAGGGGAAAGGACATACCAAACCACAGAGAGAAAACGTGAGAAGTTTCTTCATCGCAATTAAAGAAAAAAAAAAAAAGGTAAAATAGAAAAACACGAAGAACCGTTCTCCCTCCGCTCGTCTTCTCTTTGCATCTCCATTCGTCCTGCATTGGCCCCCTGTGAGATTCCTCGCTCTCCTTCATCTATGTCACCTCACCTCATTTTACATGCATTTTTTTTTTCTCCTGTTAACTTGTTTTCTTTTGTTGTGGCGGGAATCCTGTTTTTGCACGGAGGTCCCCAGATTTTGACTATTCCTTGTTCGATTTCAGCTGTGGATTTTTCTTGAGTTTTCCTCGATTTTCAATGCTTATCTTCAATCTCAGTAAACTTTGTTTGTAATGTTATTTCTGGGTCTTTGTGATTTCCGTAGATTTGGTGTTTGTTGTTAATTTCATGTTTTTTAGATCCCTAAATTGAGTCTGTTAGGGTTTTTGACTTTTTCTGAGAATGGGATTGTTTTCGTTGGTTTACTTTGTTTGCTGCCAAACTCGGGAAAAGGAAACGAATAAGTAAATTTTCAGTCTTTGTTTTGGTTTCGGAATAAAAATGTTTTTTTTTTTTTAGGAGTTTAGTTTAAGGCTTAGTTGTTCTTGGTGGCTTCAACGCAGTGCATGTACTTCTACAGCTCCTGCTTAGGTGTGTGGTTTGAGGAGTGCGGTTCTTCTTGTTTTTGTTGTTAAGAAAGCTGAAATATTGATAATTATCATCTGGGTATGGTTAGTTTGTTATCTGTTTCACAAAGTTATTGGGGAGAATTTAGTTTCTCTTTCTGCTGCATTGTGTGATTTAATTTTGATAAACTGACAGTAGTGCCCTTAATAGAGAGCGTTCTTGGTTTGTTGGCTGTACATGTCAAGCCTTTTGTTGATTTTTGGTCTAATATAGTTGGCAGGTTTGGTCCAGGTGATTTTGGAGAATGCCTCTATTCAAACGCAGTCCTTTCACTTTAGCGGAGCCTCCTAAGGATTTGGAATCCTCAGAGATTGTGTATCAAGTTCGATTCACAAAAGAGATTTTCCGGGATTATCTGTATCCTTCTTCCAAATCCATGATAGTGATTACTTATTGTTGCATTGCTTTTATGCTATTTCTGCCTTGTTCTTGGAAACAAACAACAATATGTTGAATGTGCTCCTCTTAGCCAGTCAGAAAAAGGTGGAACAAGAAAAGCAAATGGGAGGGATACATTTTTCTGTCTTGTTCTCCTAGAGTTATATTTAACTCTTTCATCCCTACCTCTCTATGTCTACTACTCTCAAAAGGATGGAGATTTTCCATTTCTGTACTGGTTGAGACTTCCTAAAAACAAATAACTCTTATCTTTTCTTTTTATTTTGTGAATGAATATAGATAGAAACAGATGGAGTGTCGTTATTTTCTGTTTTCTTTGACGTGTACCAGAGAGTATTTGAACAGGATAAATCTATATCGACAGAGAGTTTGGACATGCAAATCAACAGGTAAAGGCAACTTGACTTATGAGGAAGCTTTGGTGTCAGAACAGCATGCAATTGAGAAAGTTCAAGAGTTACCCAATGAGCTACTGGCCCCTGTTCTGCATACTATTCAATTCAGTAAGTTCTTATGTCAATTTGATGATTGAATATCTATCAGTGATCTTGATGCTTATAATTCTTCTAGCATTTTTTTTTTTCTTTAATTCAACGTACTTTATTTAGCATATATGTCTACACTTTTCATTTTTTTGTGCTGTTACAATTTAGCTACAAATATTACCCTTGGAATGGCATTGTCTGAGTTTGATATTGAATTATAGTAAAGATGATTGGGTTGATAACAGTGGAACTGGTTTTGTTATTCAGATACAGGCACTAATCATCTCTAAGGAGAGGCTTTTAGTGCAGTGGTTGTTTCATGAATTCAATACTGTATTGCTCTCTCTGATCTTCATGTGCATATGGATTGTGCTTTTATCAAATTATCGCAAAATTCATTTGCTGCTCCATGCTATCCATTCTAGGTTTATTTTTATCCTGATTTCACATTTTTCATGCTGATTTACTTTTAACATTAACCTCTTGTAATTTGGCAGGCATGCTTTCATTGAGAGATCTTGCTGACACGATAGTGAAAAAATTGAAAAATCCTATTTTTGTGGGTGCTGAATTATATGGAAGAAAGAACAATGGCCTTTCACCATGCAGAGTGTTAAAGGCTATGGAAGACAGTGCTGATGAAACACGATATGAGATAGGGTGGCTTGATAGAAATAGGAAATTAAGGGAACGTGCAATATTGAATGCAGAGGATTTAGTATGGAAGAAAACACCCTTTAGTAGAAATTTTTTCAAGTCTTTTATTAGGGAGTCTACATGCCGAAGTATTCCTTGGATGCTTCACGAAAAGCTGGCACATAGACATGGTATCTCAACCAATCCTCCAGAGGAGTTGCAGGGAAAATATTCCTTTAAAGATGGAAAGTTGGTCAGCATGAAAAAGAAAAGGAAAAATAAAAGCAGAGAGAGTGAAGAGGTAAATATTTCATTACAATGTCCTTGTTTCTCTCTCTTTTTTTTTTTTTTGGCTGCTGGTAATTTGCTTGGTTTATGAATGGGGATTTTTGATGTTTCTTTTGGTTCGTATTTAACATATCCAGCAATTCAATGAAGAAAATGGAGCATCTAAAAGGATGAAAATAGAAAGTGAGAAACCTAATGAAGACCTTATCAAATATCCGATTGACGACCTTCTTGTGCAACCTGGTCCAGATGATCCAGTTTTCACTGATCGTCCTTCACCGTCAAGGGAATTTAGTGTTCCAATGGATTGTGTTGGAAATCTTTTGATGGTTTGGGATTTCTGTTCTTCGTTTGGTAGACTGCTGCATCTGTCACCATTCTCTATGGAAGATTTTGAAAATGCTATCTGCCACAAGGAGAGTAATTTGGTTCTTAGCATGGAAATTCATTCAGCTCTTCTTTTGTTTCTCATGAAGGATAATGGTGAATTTTCATCAGCTGTACAAAAAAGAAAGCGAAAGCCAAAGGTCAAACTTCTCCTATCTTGCATATAGTAATCTGTCCATCGAAACCATGTTACATTATATTGCTTGATGTTATGTTGCTGATTGTGTTTTTATTTCCAGATATCACTAGTCACTTGGACAGAATATTTGTGTGATTTCTTGGAGCTGATTGACATTCCTGACTTATGCTCTAACATAACAACCATAAAGAGGGGGCATTATGGTCTTCTGAATGCTAATGCGAAATTGGGGATACTGCAAGAATTGGTCAATGAAGCACTTCAAACGGATCTTTTTAGAGAGAAGCTGGATCAGCATATAGAACAGCGGCAGGTGCTTGGAGCTAATCAAAGAGGGGAAGCTTTGGAAGAGGCTAGAAAGAAACGAGCAGAGAAGGAACAGTTGAAAAGTGAGCATGATCTCAATGGATTGGTGAATGGACATGGTTTGGAGAGTTCCAGAAGCAACCTTCATGTATCAATTAATCATAATCATAGAAAAGAGAATGGGGACATAACAGAGAAGAAAAATGGTGTGATCTCTTCATCCAGACAAAGCAGTCCATCAGATGACAGGTTTGAATTGTATTGCCATTTCATTTAGTACTAATTATGAGTATGACTTAGTTTGAAGTATAAAGAATATTTTACAGTGGGAGCAAGCCTTTAGAGATTCTATCAAAGAAAACAGACAAGAAGCAGGATAATGATGCAGAAATGCCAGCAGAAAGTGAAGAATCATCTGGGAAGGAAGCAATCAAACAATTGAGGGTTGATAAGAAGGATACAGGGGAGAGGAAGAGTAAAGAACAAAGGGTTTGATCCATTGGCTCATTTTCTCTGGTGTGTGTGTCTATGTTTCTCCACCCTCTTTCTTCTGACATTGTTTGTTATGCAGAGAGAATATTATGAACGGGAGATGGAGAAGCGAATCATACGTACCAACTCCCTAGGTAAAGATAGGGACTATAACAGATATTGGTGGTTTAAGCATGATGGGAGGATATTTGTTGAGAGTCTTGACGCCAAGCAGTGGGGCTACTATAGTTCCAGGGAAGAGGTATTTCTTTTACCATGTTTTACATGCTCATTTCTATTTGAATTTGTCATAAGTTTTAACTGAATTTATTAAATAGCTTGATGCATTGATGGGCTCACTGAATCGTAAGGGTGAGAGAGAGAGAGCTCTTCATAAACAGCTGGAGAAATTCCATAATAAAATGAGGTAAGTTGGAACCTTCACTTTCTTTTTTTGGATAAAATGTAAAATTTATTCTGGAACCTTTACTTGTTGGACAACTAATAGACTGATTACATTGAATACATTTCTGCTTCTTTAGAAACCATTTGTATTCTATGTTTATGCTTGCAATTCATGGAAGCAAATGAAATTCCCTTTTCACTTTCTGTTCCAGTTATTTCAATTTTTCTTGCTGCATTTGTTTGGCCAAAATGTTAATTTCTGTCTCTGCCTTCCTCTACTTTGATCTTTTTTTATATCTATTTTAGTTTTCTCTGCACTGTGCTAGGACAAGCATTTTTTAGTTAGATTCACTGAGTAGATCTACTTCATCTATGAATCTTGTGATGTATCCCTGCAAAAAAGTGCATACCAAATTTCTACGATTAGGATTGGACAATATGCATTTCTACGTGATGACATCTTCCTGCCAGTGGCATGTCTACTTTCCCCTTTTTCCTAACTGCATTTTCAATGATCAAATAGATGTAAACTACTACTCTTTTGGGCTTTGTCAAATTTGCCTTTCTTCTTTGCACTTGCAGTATGGAACTCCAGAAGAGATCAAAGGACTTGGCTCATAGAATGGAAGCGGAGGAGGCTGTACTCCGCAGGTCTACTCGGGTACGAGCTCCACCTAGGGAAAATCCCGCTAATGCTTTCCTTAGGTATGTTAACAAGTGGAAGGAAGATTAATTGGATTTGAGTTCAATGCAGAAGTTTTTGGTTCCATCTAACTAAAATTTAGGTGCTCTTTCCAAATAGTCACACACGGGGAAGTGATACAGGAGAATAGGAAATTTTCTTTTCACTGAAGTTCCCTTTTTTCTTTTCTTCTTTTCATTAATGATGGACTTTGTTGGAGAAGGGGGAGTGATAGCAGGGGGAAGAGGGATGTGCTGAGAAAGGGATGGAGATGTTTTGTAATCCATTCCTCTGGTAGGCGGACAGGACAAACGTTTCCTCATGCTTGACCTAAATTTTGTACATGAGATTGAATTGGCATTATTTAATTTAATTACTTTGTCAAGTGGTTAGGAAATCCCCATCTGAATTTTTTTTTATATGCATGCAATATGGGGTGGTTTTATTGCTACACTCTCAATTGTTAATGGCATTTTTTTTTTTATCTTAACTGATCATTATATTCCTTTAAAGAAAAGATGCAGAGTTTTGAAAAAAATGTGCAGTACAAATAAAAATGAGTTAAAATTAAGGGTATAATGGTTAGTTAGATTTGTCTAATCTATGTCTTTAGGAGTGTATGAAATATACCTTTTTATCATAAATTTATATTGAAAAAATAAAAATTAATTTTTAATTTATCAATTATTTAATTAAATTCACATAAAATTAAAATTAAAATTAGTTTTTACATTTTTTATATATATTTATAATAAAAAAAAATACAATAAATACATTACAAGGACACAAGATTGAAAAACCCTAGTCACTTAAATAAAAAAGTGACATTAACCATTAGAGCGTGGCAATAACCCTAATGGCATGCAACATAATTGAGGAAAATTCTAGTCGGTTGCAAGCTGTTGTCCCACATAAATTATCCAAGTAAATTTTGAACCTAGATATTTTTTTTATAGATTTATTAAAGAGTATAGGATAAAAAATAATAATAATAATTTATTATTAAAAAAATAATAATTATTTTAAAAAATAAAGTTAATTTTTATTTTAATTGTAATTGTTATGTTAGTTATTTATTTATTTATTTTAAAATTAAGGATAAAAAATAATAATAATAATTTTTTATTAAAAAAATAATTATTATTTTAAAAAATAAAGTTAATTTTTATTTTAATTGTAATTGTTATGTTAGTTATTTATTTATTTATTTTAAAATTAAAATTAAAATTTTCCTTTTAAAAAAATGATTATCATTAACTAATAATTGCTTTATAGACAAACCCCTTTTTTTATATAGGAATGTAGAGAAGGATTTCAAAGTTTCATGAGTCAGATTACCTTGGCCGAAAAGAGCAGCTCATCATACAAAAGATTGCTATGAAATGTAATAACCTAGGCTGTGTTTGGTTAGCTCATTTTGGGAGAAAAATATGGTCCCCAGAAAGTGCCGTGCACCAGTCGCAGACTAAACATGATAGTTAATAGACAATTTTCTAGTAACTGGGGTCCAAACCGAAAAGGACTTACAGGGGAAATGTCATCTTTAGTTGAGAAAAATACGTTGCAGCAGATTCCAGGGGTAAGCGGGCAGCACCTTTCAAGGATGGCAATTCCCCCAGAATGTTCTAACTAGAACATGGCCTACAAGTAAGCCCTTCGAGTTATAAATCAATATTTGCAGAACAAATCAAGTCCCATATGAAACTTATTCTACCTATAGGACGGTGCACAGAACAATTTTTACCATGATGGTCTTCCTGTTCAACATTCCGGAATTGTAAGTTGAATTACAAGCAAAGGTGAAAGAAAAAAGGAAGAAAATAAAAGTAAATAGAAAAAAAAAAAAGTGGCATTTGCTTTAACCTTTGGCAGAATAATACTCTATATGACAATGGTTTGAAGGGAGATTGCAGCATTATGACAACAATCATAAGTGAACAATCCTGGATCATAAGAGTCAAATGATCCTGAACTCAATAATTAAGCAAAACATGCCAAATTCAAGACATCCATGTATGTGCCTTGAATAAAAGTTGGAACAGACATTAAGAACTGATTATGAGAAAAACTACATAATCTCAACCACACCTCGACTGACAATGATTCCTTGGTTGAGATCCTGAAATGCTTGGTTTCCCTCCTCAAATTTGTATTTTCGTGAAACAGCATCGGTAAGATTGAAGATTCCTGTTTCTGCTAGTCTTACCAACTTGGGTAGATCCTGCCTGGCTCTTGCTCCATAGGAGCCAATGACTTGTATCTGCTCCATGATATTATTGCAAGAAAGTTTATACCACAGCTATGGGAAAAAGGACATAAGGCACATGTATTTGTGTGTAGCTATTTTAAGATTTAATATATGAAGATTACATGGTTACATAACTTTAAAAGCTCAAAGTGCAAAAATCTGTTTGCTACTTGTTTTTTTAATGTATATTTATAATTCCACATTACGCCCCCTTTCTTTCCACATATGAAAATTAGAAAGTTTGTACGCAGATGGTAGCTATTAAATGTGAACTGAAAATTTGAGGGTAATACTTGTCTTTGCAAAAAATAAAATTCATATGATTGTTTTTTTAATTTAACTACAGATGGAATATATATAATAGGAAGACATAAAAAGTTTACCTTTCTACGAACAAGACGGTTTATGTCCACTTCACCTACAGCCCCTGCCTGTGAAAGCCCAATCATTACTGCTTTTCCACCATCTCTTACACTTTGTGTACACTGTGAAAATGTCTGTGGTTTTCCCAAGGCTTCCACAGCAATATCCACACCCATTCCTCCAGTTATTTCCTGCCCAAAATAAGTAAACCCAGGAGGTAATGGAAGATTGAACCTTACGAAATCAATTCAGTAATTTATCAAAACTTTTATTCTTTGAAAACCCAAAGCTTGGGATATAATACATACTCTAATCCTTTCAACAGCATCTTCTTGTTTTGCATTTATGGTATGAGTGGCACCAAAAGTCTTAGCCTTCTGCAATTTATCATTCTGAACATCTACAGCAATTATATCAGAGGCACCAAATGCCCTTGCTATCTGCAAACAACTGAGGCAATTCATCTAATCATTATCATTTTGCATGGTCCATCTCCATCATGTAACCGTTAGTTTACAACACAAGCATCTTTAGTTTACCTTGAACCAACTCCTCCTATTCCAATCACAGCCACAGAATTCCCAGGGCGGACCTCAGCTGCATGTGCCATGGCCCCATAAGCAGTAAATACAGCACAGCCTAGAATGGCAGATTCAGTGTAAGGCAGTGAGCTTGGCAAAATGGACAAAGCATTTGCTGGGATGACACAGTATTCGGCGAGGCCTCCCATACTATACATGTACACCGGTTTTCCTGCACACATAGCATGCCTTTAGTAAGGAGCAAGGTATTAAAGATCAAAGCAGCATTTATTCTCAAAACTAAACACTTGATGATGAAAAGTTAAGGAGATTACAAAATAACCATGCATACTTTACCAGACAATAAGAAAAAAACTGTATTTATTTTATTCTACTTACTCAGGAATCAGAAAACTAAGCGAGATAACAGTATATAGTTCCATCCACTAGAGTTTTTCATGCGGTAGCCAATCTCAAGACTTAACCAGAAACAATTTTACATTTTCCAAATCAAGATTTTACTATTGAAGTCTGAAGCAAGACAATGGCGTATATGATCAACAAAATCATTATAATTCAATAAGTGCTGAACCAACTTACATAAATGTAAAAATAAGGGAATCTTAACATGAAAACTGAAATAAATTTACCACTACTACGCAAGAACAGCCTAGTTTCCCCATCATAGAGAGTCCCTTTAGCCCGATTATAAGCAAAAAAATCTTCACATAAATCATCATGGCCCTGTTTCAGAAAGCAAGTCAGTCTGTCATTACAAACGGAATCAGATTCAACAATAGAATCTTGAACTGTTCTGACCTTTGAACAGTAGGAACAGTTTCCACAAGGCATGATGAACGCTCCGACCACTTGGGATCCAATTGGAAATCTAAAAATTCATAAAAATGAGATGAAAATCCATATTTCTTGCTGTCTTACACCACCAAAAGAAGCAAACTTGTAAATCATAGTCAGTTACAAGTTCAAGAAACATTTGCAAGGAGCAATGAACTGTGATATTTGAGAAAAGAAAAACGCCTTTGATTTTATCCCAAGAACATAAGTAATCAATGAAAAACCTTTGTATGATTTTGCCGTCTGTGAGGGGCCCATGCTCAACAACTTCCCCAGTTATCTCGTGCCCAATAACACATGGACTAGAAAATGGAATTTCACCTTTTATAACATGAAGGTCAGAGTGACACACTCCACAGCCTGCAACCAGTATGCAATTTGAGACCCCACTTTTACAACCAAAAATTAAATGCAATTTAATGAATTGGGTATAGCTGTATTGCAGAAAAAATTGAATGAAAAAGAACAAGAGGGGAATTGGAAAAGAAAGCACCTTTGGTTTTGATGAGAAGCTCTCCAGCTTTAGGCCGAGGCATATGAAATTCTTCAATGGTGAGTGGCTTATTGGGTTCCCAGAACACAGTCCCACGCATGTACCCACCTGAGCTCACGTTGTACCCAGCCAACGACGAGAAGCTCCTCCGATTCTTGCCAATCCCATCACTGCTGTCATTGGCAGCAAGGTCAAACAAGGATCTACTCCGATCAGTCAAGACCCATGAGGAAGATAACATTGTGGAGTTGGGTCTTGAAGAAAGCAGCAGCTTTCTGGCAATGGAACTGCGAATAATTGGAGCAAAACCCATACTGCAGTCGGATTTGTGCCGAAGTTGGTCTGAGCCTTCGCCGGAGATGGGGAAAGAGATAGTGATAAGCCAGCAGAGTCTGACGAGGCGTTACTAATTTTATCACACGTAGGATCTTCGGGTCTACGTTAATATAGTACAAGTGGTTTTCTACGCGGGCTAATTGTGCGTTATCTCTTAATATTTAATAGATAAATTGAATAGTTACTATATATAAACATTTTTTTTTTTAGTACTTCGTTTAATTTGAGATTTTTAGTACGGTTAAATTTTTTCTATTTAATAAATTTTTCTAATAAAATAAAAATATAATAATTAATAATTGATAAAATTTCATGAAAATATTGACTTAAGTCAAATTTTACATACTCTCTCTATTATAAAATAATTATTTTTTTTTATTTTTTTAACTTTAAATTTATCTTAAATTAATTATA